AATACGACATAAAGCAGCTTCGTTGTGTATACTTGCATTATCTGCGACTAAATAGGTATTTCGTGGCAAAAATGGCAAAATTTGCTTCTCAATTACCTCGTTTAGTAGCAAAGTATTAAAGGCTCCCACAACTGGGACGKCTAGAATGACTCCCTCATTAAATCCACAAGTTCCTAACGTAGATAACTTGACGTGKGTTCCTCCTTTCAGTCTAAACGATGGACATGCCAATCCAGAGTCAGTTCGTCCAAATTCTCGCTCGTCAGTTTCCATATCGAAATGGGTTTCATCGAAAAAGTATACACGGCTGGGATCAACGGCTCTTCTCCACTGGATGAATAACTGGCGACAGCGCTGATTGTGTGGTGACATTCGTTCTCTAGCCACATAAACACATTTTTTACGAGTTATTCGTAGCTCTCTAAAAAGCCTGACAATAGAAGACAAGGACGGGACTTCGTGGTGTTGAAGCKGAAATTCTTTTGCGAGTAGTTCTCTCATTTCACGTAGGTACGCAGTAGGATAGATTCTAATCACTGCTTCCATATACGCTCTCATCCACCACGTAATTTTTTGAGGAGGCCTACCTTTTGCAAGAGGTGTCATTGAAGCTTTTCGTCTGAAAATCTCAACGTATTTATTAACACAGTTATAGGACACTCGGCAGATTTCGGCGGTCGTTGCTTTGGACTGTGTGGCGAGATACGTAGAAATGRCTTGAACTCTCTTTTGCCTWGGGTAAGATTTACCATTACGATAACAACCACCACTTTGGTTCAAAAACCAAGACATTCTATAGCAACTAGAAATTAGCRAAGTAAACAGTATACAAGACCAACAGCGGCTGTTCGACTGGGGAGAGCTTACAAGATAATTTATCTATATCGACACTTCATCTGCAAGCCTTTGTCATTCACAGGATCACAGCGATTGGCCGTTATTTGATTTCAATAAAACTTTGTAACCAGATTTCTATGGTGTGAAGATTAACACATCGACGATTATCATACTCGAATCAACCAACCGGTTTGAGAACGAGTGAGCACGCGACCTTTATTTTTGTTTGGTTCGAAATATTTTCATGCATGCATACACAATACACACAATTTAATTGGAGAGAATATAAGCTTCACTGCTTGTTGTAGCACTGATAACAGTCATGTCAGTCGGCTGAGAGAAACATGTTGAGCAGGGGAAGAACTTGCCGAAAATGCAGACTCCATGGAGAGGTAGTGCCTTTGAAAGGACATGCAAGAGTTTGTCCATATGGAAGATGTTTTTGTTCACGCTGTAGCACACACGAGGAATTGTTAGCCTTGAGGTCAAAACAGAGAGAAGCGAGGGAGGACAAAGGTCGAATATGGAGAGCAAACCTGGCTTCAACTACACAGAGCTCGATAGGAACGACTTTCACGTGTACGAGCACAAGCTCGACCACAACCACGTCTTCCTTTCCTGATAACACTAATTTCGCTGAAAATTCTATGTTAGCCCTCCAAATGGCCAACTATGAAACCCAAGCAAAAAGGGTAAASAAAACCATGTCGAAGGCGGAGCAAAGAAAAGGTATTACTGAACGGTTTTTACTGATAATAATATTTTCTATACCATACTATTAAAATTATCAATGTTACCCTAAACGAAAAAAAATGTCTTGACCTTGAACGCATTTTAGCAGTTTAGTTTGTAGAAGTCTGTGCATGTTTGAATGTGAAAGCTTTACATTGTGTTAGTATTACTTATCAATCCCGAGGTTTGTCGAAAAACACTTTTACCAGGAATATATGTTGTATATGTCTAAAATGTTCAAGCGAAAAACTGCGGAAATGACTCACACGACTCGCACTCGGTAAAACATCGAGTTCATATGAAATGACGATATTTCTCAAAATATCTCGCAAACCAGTACGGACACCTAATGTAGAATGGTAAAAGTCCTTACATTTTGTTGGTTGTTGATTCATTTTATTTCGTCACTAAGTTTTTATGTTTTGATGTATATCGGTATTAATGTATAACGAGTTACGTAAAGCAAATTTAAAACGCGAAATCCAAGGTGAAAATCCAGAAAAAAGGTATTTCATATAGTTTTAACAAACCCTTATGACTGGTTTTATTTTTCATCATAACGTTAGAACATTTTTAATGTATCGGAGCAAAATCCACAAAAGTGATTATTTATTTTTATTACCATCATCATGATCCTGAGAATCAACAGTAGTCACTGAGCAATATACTGAATTAATGTTAGCTATTAAATTTTTTAACGTCTTGTTTTGTACGTTTCTTATTGAATCGACAGCTGCACAAGAAAAGAAGCTGGAGGAACATAAGTCTATGTACCACAGTATAAACGCCTACTCGAAGGAGATTACAGAAGCAACAACAGATCTTAACCCCTTGACAGTCTTCAAGACTGCGCTCATGCTACACCAAAGGCAACCCCGGGAAGTGGCTGATGTTTCTGGTAGGAAAGGAAGTTGTTATGCAGTGCCAACAATACAGCCTCGACTTGAGACAGGGTCCTCCTTTCAGCTTAAGTTTGATGAGCAAATAGCTACCATTAAAAACGTTCTACCATCCGTATCTGAGGCCAAGATAGCTGCGCTTCTTGCTCGAGAAAATGGTGACATGGATCAAGTTGTCCAGTGTCTGATGAATTCTGACTCTGATGATGACGAACACTATCAAGATACCAAGGTAATCGACTTGATTGATAGCGAAACACCAAGCTACTCCACAGAGATGAAGAACCTGGCTCAGTTAAATGTGGAAACAAACACCCTAAAGACCATTCTGGCTACAGTCGAAGCAAAAGAGGCAAGCCCAGAAACCCATAACCTACTGTCTTTCTATAAGCCAGGGGAGGACATCAGCAAGAAACTCGGCCAGATGACTGAAAGTTCGCATTCCAAAGAGCTTTCTAACGATCCAGCTAGTTTATGTCCATATTGTCAGGAAGATATTAATGATCAGGGGGATTT